GCAGTCCCCACAGTGTTTCCGGGGCATTCCCGCATCCTGCTCACACATCCCTGTGGTATCCCCTCCCCTCTGGGGTGGATGGCCTGTGTGACCGCACTCTCAGGAAGAGAATGGGGCCAAATGCTTGGATGTCATATCCAAGCTGATGGAGGAAAGTCTGTGACTTCTTCTGGTTCCCTCTGTCGTGTGTTCATTCTCCGTCTCCTTATCTGTTTCTGTCTCTGTCTCTGTGTCTCTCACAGGAGCAGGATCTGTGGACTCCAGGGGTGATGTGAGAAACCTCAGAAGCCTCCCTTGTCCGTGTTTCCCTCTTCTGTCCCGGTGCTCCGTTCCTTCCTAAGGCCTTGTCACCCGGACCAGAGCAGTGAATCTGGAACCTCTTCCAAATGGAGACCCGGAGGCTGCAACAAGGAGGGTCTTGGCCTTGGTCCCCAGACTAGTGGTCAGTGCTCTGCCACGTTCTGCGTACCCAGGTCCTCAGCCCCCCAAGCCCCCAGTCTGTCCTCTGCTCAGAAGGACCTCGAGGGAGTACAAAGCATTTTCCCAGGACTGGGGGCAGAGTGGGTCGGGGATGGAGATCGAAGGCCAACAGGCTCTCCCACAAGCCTGTGGGACCCTAGGGACACTGCATCTCTACAGCCCAAGTGACAGAAGAGTAAGCTGAGGCCTTTGTGCTGGAGCCCCTCTGGACTTGGGGGTGGGTATCTCTTCCTGCTTCCAAGTGCCCAGGCTGGTGATGGACACCCGAACCCAGACCCTGTCCTCACCCAGTGCCCTGGCAACCCCCCTGCGCACCTTGGGGACCCCTGACCCTCAGCCTGGCCTGTCTCCCCTCCACATGCTATGGATCTGGGTCCTTGCCAGGAGTCCTGATGCCCTGCCCCATGGCCCAGCTGTCTGCAACCTGTTTCTTCTTTCCCCCTGTCACCCACCTCGCTCCCAGGGTGTCCTCCCCTTCTGACCCCCAGCTGGGCAGTCAGAGTGGTGTGTGTGTGGGTGTGGGGGTGGGTGTGGGGGTGGGTGTGCAGGTGCATGTGCCTCTACGTGCCTGGGGATGCCAAGGTCATGTCCCCACATGGGACGGGGTGGGTAGCTATTCCTGAGGATCTGAGGGGCTCTCACCCCCAAAGCAAACCTCATGGGAGGGTTGGGACTGGAGAGCAGCTCCTTGGACTCTGCACCCCTCATTTGTCCTGGGCCAGTCCCTGCCTCTCTTGACCCAGGTTCCCAACTGTCCCTGAGGGTCGGACATGGAAAGGCTTGAACGTGGCTGCTCCTCCAGGGGTAGGTGGGGGACAGGTGCACCAGGCACGCGGGCCTCCCCATCGAGAGGGCGAGCCAGGTGTGTCATGGCCAGGTGTGCACAGACGACCTGCTCACAGCTCCTGGACCATGACCCAGCCCTGCAGCGGGTGTGCACGAGACCCACGGCTCCGCACCTGACCGGTCCCCCGCGTTCCCTCACCACCTCGGAGACAAGGGCTCTTCTTCGTCCTAGGGCCCGTCATCCTTCGGACAATGAGAGCAGAGGGATCCGTATGTAGAGGAGGCCGGCAGGGCATCCCACGGAACGTCGTGTGCCCATCTCTGCTTTGTCGTCTAGGCTTAGCGGCGGACCCCCACCTAGAAAGAGGCCCACGGGGCAGGCACATTTGTCCGCCCTGTTCCCTGAAGTATGGAAAATGTCTAGAAGGGGCTTCCTGTCCATTTGTGGAGTCGATGAAGCCCAGCCAGCACCTTTCAGATGTCTGAGTGGCTCTGGGGCCCCTCTGCCAGCCCCCAGGAATCCCTGCTCTGGCTCCACCCAGGATGGGAGCCCCAGAGGGAATCTGAAACCTCCTCACAGCCAGGAATGCGGCTTTGCCCGGGACACAGGACACCGAGGCTTGGGGCAGAGAGCACCTTCACGGTGGAGAGGAACCGCCTCAGCCCCAGGCCACCCTCCCCGTGGGCCGGCCACAGGGTCGGGGAGCGGTCCCAACAGGCCCGACGACAACCCCCTGTGTGGGGCCTGGCCTCGTGGCACGCAGGGTCCCCAGGGGACACCTGAGGTTCGGAGAGGGGACGTGCCAGGCCTGAGACACACAGCCCGCAAGTGATGGGGAGCCTCCGGGCGGGACGGGGGGCCCTGCTCACCTTGGTGAGCAGCAGGTGTGGGAAGGGCTGGGGAGGCGTTCCTCTGGGAGGTGCTCTGGGAGAGGGGCCACAGGAGAGGGCCTGGCCCGGCTCCACCAGCTTCCTCAGGCTGTCAGCACGGACCGCCCACAGCCTCTGGCTCGCCCCCAGCGGCAGGGCCCACTCAGGTTCATGGTGGGGCTGATCTGTGGTAAAGGAGGGACAATTCACAACACAGAAACTGGAAAACTATTTCTGTCCGTGTCCTGAAGTGCAACAGAATATCCAAATTGGTTCGGATCATCTTCCACGAATGTGAAGGGTGATTTTGTACCTGGCCAAGGCTGGGGCTGGACCGGGTGTGTGTGTCTGTGTGTGAAGGACCAGGTGTGTGTGTGTGTGTGTGTTTGAAGGACTGGGTGTGTGTGTGTGTGTGTGGTGTGTGTGAAGGGAGCAGCCCAGACCCCTTGGGTTGAGATCATGGCCACGTAAGGGGCACAGCTGTCGTGGCACCCCGGGTCGTTCGTGTCCAGGATGGCGTCGGGGCAGGAGACCCTCCCGGCCCTCCCCGAGCCCGGTCCTGGAGCGCCCTCATCCCCACACTCCCCCTGAGCCCGCACCAGCCGTTACCGACTGCCTGGTGCACGTGCCCCACGCCGGGGAGCCGTCGAGTGAGGCTCCTGTTGACCAGCTTGTCCCCAATTTCTTCCATGGGGCTCTGCGAAGACAGTGAGTGGCGCCCGGCCCGGAGGCATCACAGCCCTGCCCGGCCGTCCTCTCCGTCCTCCTGCCCAGGCCCACTGCTGCCCCCAGATCAGACACAGCCCCGTGCGGGCACAGCCCTGCACCTGGGGTGCAGTGACATGTATCGACAGGGCTCCGGATCAACCCGGGGAGAAGGAGGCCGCCCCAGCACAGCCCGTCCCTGTGCCTTGTCAGAGGAAACCGGCCTCCCCCAGCAGCGCTGAGCTGCCTCGAGACCTGGCTCTCGTTCTCGGGCTGCCTCTCACTCTGCCAGTGGTGCCGGATCGGGTGGGAGAACTGGTATGGAGGTGGCTCTGCTCTGGAATTCACCCCGGAGCTGCTTTTGCCTCCGGAGGGGGACCGCGGGTCGGAGCTGGAGGGTCTCTAGTCGGCGGGGCCCTGACCGCTGTGGCCTCAAGATCGGGTCAACCTTCCTCTTGTAAATTTCCACAAAAGGAAGCAGGCAGAATCCTAGAGATGTTCTTCCAGTGGTGACACCTGTGACGCTCCTGGATCCGAGTGGTGCCAAGGTGGACTGCCTTAGGAGGTTTGCGGGCACTGGCCCGTGTGAGGTTTGGGGACTCCCTGTGAATGCCGTGACCAGTTTTTACCATCTTGATTATGGTCTTCCATAATTTTTTTTTCCAAAAGGATGATACCAAATTACTATTTTTTTATGCATGCTTTTTAAACTTTTTCTCTACTGTATCTTCTGAAAGTACCTTCCCATATATTTCTGTTTTTTTTTTTTTTAATTAACATAATACATTATTTGTTTCAGGGGTACAGGTCTGTGATTCACGTATTTCTGTTTTTAAGGAATTAATATTTCTAAATTTTCAGTGACTGAAAACATTTCCATGATATAGATGTACCATTTGACCAGTTCTTTACCTTTGTACATTCAGGTGTTTTTTTTTCCCTTCCTCTTTCTTGCTGTCTTCCTGTTACTTCATTCCTTCTTCTTTCTGTCTTCCTGTTATTTACTGGTGATAGAACTTTTGTTTTTGGGTGTCCAGAGTTATTTGTTCGCTGGGCATAGAGTTATTTTATTAAACCCTAGTGTGGACTTTGGGTAGGCTGTTGCTTGTGAGAGTGCCACTTTTTGTGTTCAGGTATGGACCCATATCTTATGTGTATCTGTCTTCCCAGCATGTAGCATTTGCCTGGTACAGTGGGTGCTCACTAAAGAATTATTGTTGAGTTCCAGAAATATAAGGGCCATGGGACAAATATTTAAGTATTTACCACGTATTTAAGGCCCTATATATAGGAATGAACAAGACAAAGATTGTCCTTGCTCTCATAAGCTGAAATACTACTCTCTACAACAAGGTTTATGTTATAAAGATGACAAGCCTCTTAATGTGAGGATCAATTAAAAAACCTTAAAGTTGGGGCACATGGGTGGCTCAGTCGGTTAAGGGTCTGCCTTCAGCTTAGGTTGTGATCCCAGGGTCCTGGGATGAAGCCCCACATCAGGCTCCCTGTCCCTCCCCCTCCACTCCTGCTCTGTCTCTAGCTTTCTCTCTGTCAAATAAATAAAATCTTTAAAAAAAAAAAAAAAACCTTAAAGTCACACAATGTAGGAGAAGCAGTCTACGTGACCTATAGCGTGGTTACTTTTCATGCATGTGGCTAATTGAGGGTTGACTAATTGATTTTCCTGTAGATGATATTTCTTATTTAGGATTGTCCACTAGGGTTACTACAATGGAATGATTTTTTTCAGGTTCATACTTTTTGACCCTTTCAAGTAACTAGAATCAGTTAACTAAAATTTAAAATTTCATACCTGAACATAATATGTTATACTTAGCTATTATAGAGAACTCAACAGATCTTTTAGGATTGGGTTTGGGGGCAATAGGAAATATATCCCAAAATATTTTTGGTTTTTCTCTTGCACATTTTAAAATATGATTAAACAAAGATTGCAACCACGGAGATTTTTTGTTGTAAATTGGTGTTTCAACACTGCCAGCCGTCCACGCTTTTTGTGGTCCCACTTATAAAAGTGGAAAGTGAAGGGTGAGTGGCTGCCCTCTTGGGCAGGCACACAATTAAAAAAAAAAAATGTGTGTGCCCCAGCAGAGCTATATTAGAGTTTCATATAGCTGCCTTTTTCTTTTTTATTGTAGGGCCAGCTCTCAATGTTGCAAGGAAAAATAGACCATTTGGAGCGTTTGCTAGCTGAGAATAATGAGATCATCTCAAACATTAGAGACTCGGTCATCAATTTGAGTGAGTCTGTGGAGGATGGTCCAAAAAGTTCACAAGGCAATTTCAGCCAAGGTGCTGGCGCACCTCTTCTGCCATCAAAACAGTTGTCCCTTGTAGTGGACCCTGAAGACTGTTCGTTCGCTTTGCAAAGTGGAAGTCGGAATTCAGATGTGCAGGTAATGTATGCATTCGTTAATGATCATTGGGATTTTCTTGCTTTTCTTTCTTTTTTGATCTGGTGTCTGTTTTAACTTAGTAAGTTGCTTAAACTCTGGATTCTAGTTTCTGTTTTTGTAAAGTGACTGGATTAGTCACATGACCATTAAAGTTGTTTTTAGTGATAAAATTCTGTAATTCTTTATTTCCCTAATTATTTTTTTTTATTATTTTATACTTTGTGATTATGGCCTTTTTGTATGCTTTTTAGGTCTTATTTTGTCTAGTAGATGAAGACTTTTAGAGGTTTAAATTTGACCAAAGAGATTTTCTTATCTTCCTATTAAGAGTATAAGAAAAGCCTTATTCTTACTATATATCTTTTATACATTATAGGTTTCACACAGTGTAGGGTTCGATACCTTCTGCTGAATATCTCTTTGTGAGAGAGGGAAGGGAAATATTCTAGAGCTGTGCTGTTCAGTATGAAAGTCACTGTCCACGTGTGGCTCCTGAGCACTTGAAATGTGGCTAGTTTGAATTGAGATGTGTTCTAAGTGTTGAAGACTTACTATGAAAACGAATACAAAATACTTTGTTTCATTTTACATATATGTGGAGATAATATTATGAGTATATTGGATTAATTAAATTAATTAATTAAAAAAAATTACGGATTTGCCTTGCATTCTGTTTCTCTTGGATAGCGCTTTTCTAGAGGGTGGTGGAGTTGTAAACTAGGATAAGAAAGGACTTCTGCTTTTCTTAAATTTAAGGTGTGTCAAATGTGCTCTGTTCTGCCAGTTAGCAGAGAGCTGTGTTTAACCTGAACTCAAACTTGGTGACGAGTCTGTACTCGTCAATTAATTTAATTTAATTTAATTTACTTTTGTTGGACAAAATGGGTTGGCTCTGGCCTTGCTTTGGAGTAGATGTTTCTACTAACTTCTGGGGACAGAGAATGTGATAGGATCTTGAAGCCCGTGGCTCACAGACCAAGCCAGCAGCTGGAGACAGAGTTGGCCAAGCCTTGTGCCCATAATCTTATCAACTAGTGTGTGGTCAGGTCCCCACACTATCAGGATTCTGTGCTGTGAAGGTATATCTATTTTTGTGAGTCTTGGCTTTGTATAGGTTTTAAATAAGTACCTTTTAAAGGAGAACAACAAAACTCTTTTTGGAGGGGGTTGTTAAATCTGGGCTGGACAGAAACAGCCGTATTGCTGAAGAACCCCAGAAGGCAGGCAGAACGAGGCAGTGGGGTACAGGGCGAGCTGCAGGGCCGGAGAAAGAACCAGAAGGAATAACAGAGACTGTTAACACATCCTCCTTTCCAGCTGGTTCCCTTTATTGACTCATCCTTGGAAGCATTTTATTTTATTTATTAAAGTCATACATTCTGAAGTGAGAGATATGTTGTTGCCTTAAAATACTTTGCATTCACTTTTTACATAATTTGCTCGGTATCTTTAAGTTTCTTTGTAACCCGCTTATATATTTTATAATATATAGTGATTTTTATGTAATTAAAATTTTATATATAATTTTTACATAATTTAAATTTTACCAAAGTCAAATTTTGGTAAAATCAGTTTTGTGTTCTTTGTCACATGTAGTATTATAGAGGATATGAAAAATACCAGCTTTTAGGTTTTTTTTTTTTCTGCAATATTTTTTCCTTTGTGTCCAAAAAGATTATTACCTCAGACTACTACATTGGAAACATAGAGAGCATTTGAACATTTAAAAATTTCAATTTTTACATGATTATGCCTCATTCACTCAGTTGTAGTTTTAGTTTTAGAATGAAAAAGGTGAACATAACATTTGCTAAATGAAGGAACAGCTGTAGATGCATTTCCATTCAGATACAGATTTTAAAATATATGTGACTAATTGTAAAATAAAGACAACTCAAAGTAAAAAAAATCATCAGTATTGCTTGTGAAAATGCTGAAATATTTGGTCATAATCACATTTCATCAAGAAATTTTTTCTTTGCTGTTTAGTTCCTATCAGTTTCCACTAAAATGTATTAGAAGAAAAGCAGGGCAAGAAGGAATTGAATGAAATTATTTTTCATTAGAAGCAGATGGAGGAGGGGCTTATTTATCAGGATAGTTAAGTAACACAGTAGCATTTTAAGAATTTGAATGGTAATTAAATGTTTTCTGCCTTAAACTGTTCAGTTAATGTCTACAGAAATAGTTTTATCTAGTAAAATACATACACAGTGACTAGCTTTGAGCAAATATTTTCCAACATTAAGTTCAAATTAAAAATGGTAATACATGGTTAAATTTACTCTTTTTTCCCCTATATTTTGTCTTTTGTATTTTTAGATGTTGGATGTTTACAGTCTAATTCCTTTTGACAATCCAGATGGTGGAGTTTGGAAACAAGGATTTGACATTAGCTATTTATTTAATGAATGGGACTCTAAGCCCCTTCAAGTCTTTGTGGTGCCTCATTCCCATAATGACCCAGGTAAAATTTACACTTCAAAAAAACTACAGGTTATTAAGCCCCTGTACACACAGAGTATTTTAACGAGAATCTGGTAGAGCTGATTTCTCAAGTTTTTGAGACACTATTTGCTGACTTGTTCCAGCAACGTATTCCTTTTATTTTGAGTTTTTATCAATTTATGTGCCATTCATGGATAGTACTTGTGCGATGTGAAATAGTAATAAACACAAGAAGGTCTTTGTTTTGGGGATGAAAAGTTGAATTCACTTAAGGTGCTGACTGTTCATCGTAGTTACTTCTTGTAAAATAGTGCGTGGGAGAATTATTTTGTGTTCATAAACTGTGCACTAAAAAATGCAGAATTCTCATGGGAACGTTTGAATCTTTAAAATGGAAAAGCAATGTAAAGTGGTTAAGAGCCTTGGTCAGGTGGACATGAGTGTGGAGTCCCAACCCCATGGTGTGAGACAACTTTAGGCAAGTTACAGAATGTGAAAGTAAGTATTTTCGCGGGTAGAATCAGAATAAAGTATCTACTTTATAAGATGAGTTGTAAAAGCGTGATGCATGGCCCCGGTAACTCCTGTCATTATCATTATTGTTATTATTTCATATGACAGCTTTTGTTATTTATTGGGGCTGGAGACCTTTTCCTCCAAGGTAAGGGAGAATTGCTAAAATTACAGTGGGAAATATGATTCAATGTATAGATTTGTTAGTGTGAGTACACTGGCACAGAGTAAATACTTCATGAATTCTGTTGCAGAATTTTTTGGGGAATGTACTTCAAAAGACTTCCTTTGAGGACTGACTTACACTTCTATTTGTTACTTTTCTCAATTTTTCCATTTCATCATTACTAATCAGAGGCACCATTATTCACCTAGTACTTTGAAGGTTTTTTTCTTTACTCCCAGCATTCATTTATCTCTGACTTATATCCTTTCCCATTGATTTATTGGCATATGTTCCCTTCTGTTTCTAAGACAGTAGAACTTGTTGCTTTAGGTCTGGATGGACACATGATTTGGTGAAGTTGTGTGTGTCTGTGTGTGCGTACACACGTGTGCTGCTTTGGATGTGAAAGGTACTCGGACAGTTTGGATGCTGAAATGTTTGAATTTCCATAAAACTTCAAAATTCAGTATGCACAGAGGTCTGAAATATGTGAAATCAATATTATTTTGGAAATTTGTGATGAGCATATGTCACACCAGCTTCTGACTTGGTTTCTCTGTCTTTGGTCTTAATGTCTTTATCTTTTCTTACAAATACCCATCCATCTTATTAACGTTTCCTCTTAAATGTTTTGCATCTTCTTCCTCCTTAATCTTAGCCTGTCCCTTCAAATCCAAACTCCGATGGCCAGGCATCATGGAAAGACTGCAGGGATCTGGAGCCAGGCAGAATGAGGCAGGCATCCTGGCTTGGCTGTATACTGGCCCCAAGTCCTTTGGGCACATTTGTGTGTCTGTCAAATGCAGATCATATGGTAGATCATCTTAAAGCAGGAGTTAGTTATCAAGTAAATACAAAAGGTGATGAAAATCACACGTAATTAAAATTCCTTTAGCTATTTACTTACTTGTATGCCAGATTAAATAGTACATTTGCATGTAGGGTATGTGTACTGAAAAACAGGTCTTTGTTTATATCTAGACTTAACAGTGAGGTGAGGTGCTCACACTTGATACGTGGGATCTGAGTTTGCCTGTAGGACTACAGATGATTGATTTTCTCTGTAAATCTCATTCACTCTGAAATATTCCCTTATTGAGTGAAATGGTGGCAGAGCCCCTGTAGTATTTAAATTGTTCTCTCCTTTCTTCTCTGCCAGTTCATTTCTTGTCTCTTAATTGGGTGTGTGATGTGATTCCATTGTATCCAGTTTCTTATAGGGTCGTCAATACACTTTGCAGTATGTCTTGCAAGTCCTCATGTGAACCCATTTCTCCAACCTTTTAGATTTTTTAAAGACTTTTATTGTCTCTTCCCCTTTTCTGCCATCCTCAGTTTCCACCAATCTCATTTCTTGTAATTCTAGAACACGCACGCTTAACTGTAATAATAAAATTTGTGGTTTACCAGGCAGTGTGCCAAATGTTTTATAAACATTGAGTGCTGAAAACAACCCTAGAAGGTGAGTGCCACTATTCCTGATGAAGGCGTTACCAACTTGTCAGACTTCCAGGGGCAGTAAGTGGCACCACAAGAATTCCTTGTTACTTTACCTGGACCTCCCACCTGAGTACACTCAAGGGACAGAGAACATGTGCCTCCTGTTCAGTCTGTCTCATTGCCTAGCCCAACACGTGGCATATAGTAATCGCTAAATAGAGACGAGGCCTTCCCGACCTTTCTCCAGTCCTCAATTCTGAAGCTTCTTGAACCTTCCATACTTGCACACAGGCAGAGATGTCAACGTTTACAGCACTTCTGCTTTGTCTCCTCACTAGAATGCAAGCTCAGTGAGGGCTCACACTTTGTCTTATAACCAGCAGGTCACTAATGCCCAGAAGAGTCAGCAGCACCTGGTACTGACTCATTCGGTTCAATAAAATAGTGAACCAGGGAATGTGATTCTGCAGACTCAGATGAAACATTGGACCTTGACATTCACATTTCTTTAGCTTCCCTCCATCTCTTCTTCCTGTTGTCTTATTTCTGTTCCTTAAAAAAAAAAAAATATTTAAAATGTGCTTTGTAATTTTAAATACAAACAGCAGATGATGTGAAGCTCTTCAAGGGCAGGGATTACCTATGCCTTTGAGATTTTGTTTGTTTGCCTTAGGGGTTCCCGCTGTAGTTAATGTGTTGTTCCGTGGGGAGATTTCTCTAATCATTGGTCCTGACTGCTCTAAGTGAATCTGTCTGTTGGCATTTTAGCAACCAGAGTTGAGTCTTTTTGTCTTAGTAAAAGATGTTAATGACCCTTACCCTCAGGCCCTCCTCCACTTGAGGAAGAAATAATAGTCTGACACTGACCTTTTATTTTTTTTATTTTTTAAAGATTTTATTTATTTATTTGACAGAGAGAGACAGTGAGAGAGGGAACACAAGCAGGGGAAGTGGGAGAGGGAGAATCAGGCTTCCTGCCGAGCAGGGAGCCCGATGCGGGGCTCGATCCCAGGACCCGGCGGATTATGACCCGAGCCAAAGGCAGATGCTTAATGACTGAGCCACCCAGGCTCCCCCATGGACTTTTTGAAAGCAAAAGCGATAGCGATTTTTGCTACCAGCAAAATAGAGAACAGAACCGCTGGCTTTTCTTGATAATTTTCACCGCTCCTTCACAAAAGTGGAATTTAGGTAAGCTAAATCATTCTGTGAAGAAGTAAATCGTTCAGATCATGAAGAAACCTCTTTTTCAGTGGAAGAAAAGAGATAAGTGTGTGCGCAGACATTCCGAGTCAAAATGTGACTCTGTAATGGGAAATCTTTGTATAATACTCCTAAATGAATGTGCAGTTAGGCGGTTTACTTTCTAAATGAGATTTATAGAGATTTGTTTGCATTTTCTGCAGCAACAGTTTAAAACAAACTTTAGCTTAGTGGTTTGTTTCATCGGAGTTTTGTCTGTTGGGGATAGGAATGTTTGAAATAGACTTATGAAAGATTCCTATATTGAGTTCCCTAACTTTAGGAATTCTGTTGCTGTGTTTTTATATATGTAGGTGTTTTTCTTTTTGGATCGAGTTCTGATATCTCACAAGACAGATAAATTTCAAATTATGTTTCGTATTTTAATTCCTAATCATGCCTTCTTCCAGTCTATGAGGACATGTAACAATTGTCATACAGCATTTTGTATGGTTTACATGAGTTAAAACAAAATTGGAAAGGAATTGTTAAGTAAATGCTGATAACTTTGTACTGTTACGCTTTTGAAAAGTTCTGAATCATAGACCATGAAATTAAATGTTAGTTGATTGATACATATTCATGTTATATTTAATAAGCTGATTAAAACAGCACCTTTGTATCTACAATCTTAATTCTTTCCTTCCCACTACTTAAACTGCCGAAATATTTAGTTAATTTTCCTTCAAAAAAGTCACAGTGTGTAGAGAGTAGATAAGGTATACTAAATGGAAAGTTGGACCGCATATTGTTAGTTAAGCAATATGTAAGATGAACATTAGAAAATAATCCCCCATGTGGTATGACTCTGAATCAGAGAGACCTAGGCACAAGAGCCACAGTGGAAAATCATTTTATTTTGTGCATTTGCAGTTGTTTTACAGAGTTTTTATTGATTCAAATGAGTGAGTAGGATTTTTCACTTTTTTTTTAAATTAAGGAAACAGAATTTTGCATTTAGCATTATATGATAATTTGAAATGAGTGTATGTACCCTTATTCTTTTTTTTTTTTGAAGATTTATTTATTTATTTTAGAGAGAGTGGTATAAGTGGGATGAGGGGAGAGGGAGAGAGAATCCCAGCAGACTCCCTACTGAGCGCAGAGCCAGACTTGGGGCTCAGTCTCACGACCCCGAGATCACAACCTGAGCCAAAATTAAGAGTCACCCTTAATCGTCTGAACCATGTAGGTGCCCCTGTGTGCCCTTTTTCTTAAAAAAAAAAAAAAAAAAGCGAGAGAGAACAAAAACGTGAGGAAATCGCAGTGTGGCATTATTTTAAAGGTTTTCTGCTCATGTATTGTTCAGCACAATCAGAAGAAAAGAGTTCTGGTCAGCCATAGTTGGGTAACACCCAGTGGGTGAAAGCAGGGGAGACTTGCAAGTCCATCTGCCAAAGGAACCTGCTGAGTGGAAGGAGATGGTCAGGAGAGGGCCATGTGTTTGTGGGCACAGTTTGCGGAGCACTTTGTTCTGTTTAATAATTGAGGGATAAAATGCGTTCTTCGGTTTTGGCCACTGTGATGGGAAATTTGAGTTTCTGGAGCTAAAATGCACGAGGAAGAACTGAGTGAGAACTGGTATTCATTGCCTGTCTTGTATCAGGGGAGTGTTAAGTGTGTGTTGCTTCATGTAATCCATTCTGCAACCCTTAAAA